GCAATGGTCTTTATTGGAGTCGATTTAGACCAAATTGACAAAATGGCTCCACGAAGGGTCAAATCAGCTCCAGGGCCTATAGAGCTGAATCAGCACTTTGGGGCTAAAACAGATCTTTTGGTTTTAGAGTGATGTTGGTCGTTTATTAGAGTTATCTGGGACTTCGTCAATGTCTGTACGCTCCGCAGAAAAGACGACAACTACTTGCAGTGAAAATGATGAGTTTGAGTTTGACCAGTAAACATACAAATAGTATGATTTTATTCCTTTTATTCCTTTTTTCGATTTTCAATATGAAAAAAATATTTTCAATTGTCAGCCCTCCCACTTTTCACCTTGCTCCGCGGTCCCTGATCAAAACAATATCTGACCTGTGTAAACGAGATATGTAAAGTACGTCTCGTTTTCCGCGAAAACCCTTCTATCTGTCTGGCCCGAACGTAACATGTGTCGAATCTAAAAATGAGCGACAACAATAGATTTCTTGCATTAGCATTTAAATACAGCACATGTGAAGCTCGACGTTGTTCAAAAACACACTTAAGCTGAGAAAAAAGGGAAATTACGAGCGTTATTAGCCGTTTAACTTTTCATAAAACAAATCGCCGTTTCAGCTGACCTAGCGTGTTGGTTATGGGCGGAACTTAGGGGGGTTTTTGGCTGACTGTACTTTCCCCTTTTTTTTGTCTGTATAATTATACAGGTCTATACATATATGCACATTGCGCCGCGTTTTCCTGCTAGAAGCTGAAAAAAAAGTCAAGTAATCGCCTGTGTCATTGCTTATACTTTCATTCCGTGAGAAAAGATCATGCTCAAAAGCACAGGAGTGGATAACTTGCTATGGCATAAATTGAAAAATTAATCTCATGCCGTTAATTTTTAGATGGTAAAAAAGAATACGCTTTGAGTATAAGAGACGAAAAAAAATAAAACAAAAAAAGATCGATATTCACTGTTTTCGAAACGAGATTTGTTAGTTATGATCATACGCGCGAAGGCTTCTACGTTATTGATCTGTAGTATAAATTTTCGAACATTTGTAGCCGTGCACCGTTAATGTTATTAGAAAATGTTCTTATTTACTTCTCTCGGCACTTTAATAGTTATTGCAGCCGGATGGGGTTCCATCTGCATTCTCTTCTACTGTCCCTCTCTCAATGAGGTCTTCCACGAGCTCATATTCGGTGAGACGGTCCCCCAGGTCTTGTGTGGGGTCGGTGTGTGGGGTTACCACTGCTTAGAAAGATAGATAGACAGACAGACAGACAGACAGATTGATTGATTGATTGATTGATTCACTTTTATTTGAATACGGTAATTTCATAAGTTACATAACTTCTTTACATGAAAGCCGTATAGAAGCAGAAGTAAATACTGCACAACTACACTAAAAATATGTACAAGTAATAAAATATAGTGATGTAGTCATCAGTTTGCCTGCCTACTAGCCAGTTTTCTTTTAAAGATAGCTTTAGATTCGGACGCTTTTATGTCATTTGGTAATGAATTTCACAGCATTCCTCCTCTGTATGAGAAAGACCCTTTATAACATTCTGTTTTTGGAACGTGGTCCAGTACAATATTATATTCCGTATTTCTTGGCATAGACTTATAAGGGTTGTTCTCACAGACATTCGAGGAAAGATCGCTTAAGTAACTAGGTATATTTCCATTCACTGAATCATACATTAATAGACTTAAGTGCCTTTGACGCCTTGAGGCAAGCTCTTCCCAGTTTAGTTGTTTTCGTATTTGTGCTGAACGAACGTCATAACCTTGAAAGGTTATTATGCGTGTAGCACGATTTTGTAATTTTTGCGCGCGCGACAAAATTATAAACTCGCTTCGCTCTTGGCCGCTCGCTCCGCGAGAACTAATAGATTGGTTAAAAATATCACAAATAGGGATGCAAATGAGATCTGCGCATTCCCGGATGAACCTAATCTTATCAAGACCAGTTGCCTTTGACTTGTTTAGTTTATTCAAAAGTGAAAAAACTTCTGTTGCTGGTGCTGCTTCAGGTCTCCTTTCCTCCTCTTCCACGAAGACACCCATTTCTAGATAAGACTTGACTCGCTTGGGAATGGCACCGATCATAGCGGAGCTCTCGCGCGCGAAGCGCGCAGCGGAGCACCATGGGTAAAAAAATGTGGTAAACTACCCATCCGAGAAAATTTGGTAATCACGTGACCGTACACCGACCGCCCGCCCGACCGTCCGTCCGCACCACAGACATACCAATGTAAAATAATTCAATTAACAGGTATGGCAACCCAAATGCAACTCAAGGTTTTATTTAGAAAGAAATCGCATGGCCGCCCGGACTTTTAGAAAGAAAAAACAACAACAAAGTCGTGTCTTTTTCAACGTTATCTTTGATCTTTACACTCACGTGGATAACAGAGAAACTGAGCTAGAGCTAGTTTCTGAGAACAAAAGAGAAGAATTTTGTAGGAAGAAAAACATGAAAATTCAAAGCGGCTGTGAGACAATGAGAAATGCTAGTGGCCAGCAAGGTGAAACTGAGCGGCAGTGAAAAATAAAAGCGAACATCAACACAGGAGACAATTGGGTAAGAATTCCTCCATAAAAATAATGTGCAACTAGGAAGTTTGACGTTTAGTCCTACAAAACAGCGTTGTAGTTGTGCAAAACAACGGCAAAGAAGGACGAAAAGCGTGCTGCACGTGCAAATTTTGTTGTTTTGCTAATTAGAAAAAAAAGTGTGCTGCACGTGCAATTTGTTTTTTTGCTAATTAGATCTATTGATGCCATTTCCATTGGCCTCCCCGTTTAGCATTAGACGATTTAATTTTTTTTGTTTACAAGTTTTATTAACAAGAGCTTCGCTTTTAGCCCTGGCTAAATCTATATATTAGCTTTAATTGCCTGAGGAGCTGAAGCAAGCGTGTGGGTACCACCCTTGATGACCTTGCCAAGACAGAGAAAGAAATCAAACTCTTATTTACGGCAAATGTGGCAAAACACAATGTCGTACAGAGCGTCAGCGTAGTCCTGTCCTACCAGCCAAAACCTACAAGATAGGAACAGGTGTTAAGAGCGGTTCTCAGATAAGGCTCGTCTAAGCAAAGTGGTGTCATATTTTAGACGAAATGTGCCGTTTGCGGTACAGTTTGCGTCTTTGTCAGGACGCGTCCCATTTTTCCTCGTGGTGGTTCTTAGATAAGACGAGTCTAAGCTAAGTGGTGTCTTATCTGAGACGAAATGTGCCGTTTATACGGTTCAGTTTGCGTCTAAGTATGTAAGACTCGTTTTATTTTTCCTCGTGTAAATGGCCAGTATGAGTCATCACGAGTGATCATGTGATATCTGGGTAACAGCTGTTGTCGCAGATTTAATCAAATTCCTCCTCCTTTGTTCTCGCGAGAGGCGATATTGCGCACTGTTGCCTTGCTGTATGGATTCAGAAAAAATTATTCTACTGCACATGCTTTAATCCAATTGTATGACAAGATCTCAAATGCACTTGATAATAAGAAGGTAACTTTAGGCGTATTCATTGACCAATCTAAGTCCTTTGATACAGTAAATCATGAAAGTTTGCTCGACAAATTAGAACATTATGGAGCACGTGGTATTGCTTTACAATGGTTTAAAAGTTATCTTTCTTGTCGAAAACAATTTGTGCATTATAATGGTTACAACTCTTCATCATTAGATATTACTTGCGGAGTCCCTCAGGGATCTATCTTAGGTCCCTTGTTATTCTTAGTATATATAAATGATCTATGTAATGTGCCAAAGGTCTTAGGGCTGATATTATTTGCTGATGACACTCATATCTTCTATTCGCATACTGATGCTTCCTATCTTATGGAAGTTGTAAATTTAGAATTGAAAAAGATAACATGTTGGTTTTATGCAGATAAGCTATCTATTAATGTTAAGAAATCTAATTTTATCATTTTCAGACCGAGACAAAACAGGCAAACACTTGATCTAGCTTTTAATATACGTAATTATTCGATTGATCATGTTAAGGAAGCTACTTTTCTTGGTATAATTTTGGATGAACATTTAACAGGAAATGAAATCGTCTTTTTCTTTCTTTTCTTCTTCTTCTTACTTCTAGGCACACCTGCACCGCGAGCCAGACGACTCCCATACAGTTATTTCAAAAAAGGTTGTCGGAGAGAATGACGAACGGCGAATGTCCAACGGAGGTTACACGACCGAAAGGAACTGTGTTTACGCTGTGTCGTAAGTTGCGTTCACCTTGCATGAAAATTAACACCAACTGTGAACGTTTGTCTGAGGGTTCTTGACTCCGAAGACAAAAGAAACTCACGATTTTTTTCAATTAAAAGACGTTACTCGTTGCCTCGTATGAACGGCCTATTATCTCCGACTTAACATCTCCAGTCACAAGAAATTTAGAAATGTAGCGTTCAACTGTTCTTTTGGAAACGCCCAAGAAAAATGAAGCCTCTGCAACTGAATGCTGAAGAACATGTACAAACCAGATAACCCGCCATCGAAGGTCTTCACTAAATGGAGCCGGCATAATTGACCTTTTTACCGATACGGCGGCCATATTGAATTAATTCGATTTGAGGAGTATTATGGGATGCCCAGGGGGCATGAGCACATTTCGTTTGTATTTTCGAGCGCTTTTCGGGACATTTTTTCTCAAAGTTTTCTTAGAATAAGATTGTAATGGGTAAAAGGATCCTTTTGCCGTGTTTCGATGTAATAATGATCGCCTTTTTCCCGAGAAATATACAGTAAGAGACCATATTTCTAATACTAAACTAGAAAAAGGCGATCATTATTACATCCAAAAACGGCACAAGGATCTTTTTTCCCATTACAATCTTATTCTAAAAAAACGTTAAGAAAAAATGTCCCGAAAAGCGCTCGAAAATACAAACGAAATGTGCTCATGCCCCCTGGGCATCCTATAATACTAGTAGTATAGGAGGGACCGGTTACTCCGGTTTTTTGCGGAGGATTCTCATTAGAGTGCGGAGGAATAAATTAACCCCAATGACGTCATAACCTTTTGTCTTGATGTCATGAATAAAATGCGCAGGAATCTCATTAACTTGCGGTGGAATCTCATTAAGTATATCCATTTTGACGGGTTTATCAATGATGTCATGTTCTATTTTTATCTTGTGGCGGTCATGGTTGGTATAACTGGTTTGACAGGGTTTAGTTATTTTCGGAAGATGATGTCATATGTATTCCGGGGTACTATGATGTCATAGTTGTTAACTCAAGTCCACGAGTTATCGAAATAGAACGAAAAATTTAGAATTTATTGTTGATTTTCAAGGGCAGATCGGGCAGAAAGGGCAGAAAGGGCACCTTTTTAGCCTGTGTTTTTTCCCTGGGCGCGCGTGGAGATCTCGCGTGTAAGTCGTGCGCGTCGAGTCAGGAAACAGGAATCTCATTAAGATAAGGTCATGCGCTATTTTTAGTTGGTTTAGGATTTCTAGTTACTTTAAGGTCGATAAACGTCTTCGTTTTCGATTGGTTAGTTAGAAA